GTGACTTTATACATACAGTCTGCTTAAAGTTCACCAAGTCTCTTTTAAAATGCTTTTTCCCGTTGCTTATTATGGTTGTAAATGATGGTAAATTTGATGGTGTGTTTATTTTATTTTGACTCTTGTTTTTACTAAGTATGAATTTTGATGCTTTGTCCAGTCATTGATCTTATCTTGGGAACAGCAGCTGACCTATAAAAGAAAACCATTCAATCCTCCCTCATGGATTAACCACTATCTACTACTACTATCACTACTATTATTACAAGATACCTATGTTGCAATCTTTGCTTGCCTTAGAACTGGTTGAAAAGCAGTTTGGACTTTCAAGAAATGATTAGTGGTAGAGAACAACAGGTAACCTGTTGAAAATGTCCGTCCTATTGCGGATTTTGAATCAGTTTGTTTCTGAGATGCTAGTTTTTGGTTCATCTCTTCAAATTGTGTTTGTCATGTGTCTGTGGCATGATGCAGGAGAGTCCTACCGCGCTCCTTACTGGTATGTCCCTTGCGGTGGGTGCTGTAGTGACTGTGGATGGCGTGGCTTCAGATTCAAGTAGTGAAGTATATCACCAGCACACCGAGGTCAAATCCTCACGAAGTGATGATTTTATTGATGCACACACATCTTGTCACATAGCAACATTTTGGGGCCACTCATGGTCCCTTCATCAGGCATGAGTTAGTAAGGTGTAATGGCATGGCATGATGACACCAGGTGACAAGCTTCTCATATTGTATTTGCACTTAAATATTACCCTACAAAGCAACTTCCGATCATAAGTTTTTATACATAGGGACAGCAGGAAGACCATTTACTTATAAGGTATTATTTCAATTTTTTTAATCTTTCAGTCTTCAGAGGTCACCTGTATACTCTACACACTACAGAGAAGTATTGCTGGATTTGTGGGGTGCATTATTAGTTTTTAGCTTATGTTTATAGAATGTATAGCCATAGAATTTAAAATACAATTGTGCCTAAAAGAAAACATAGTTGCCTCTTTATATACAGGTCCATTAGAGTTGACGCTTAGGCCCATTTCTAGGCAAATAACAACCCTATTCATAGACTTTTAAATAATAACTTCTAAAGAAGACTTTTGCTCATCGGGGTTGCCACTTTGAGCCTGCGCAAACTGGTCCCCTCACTATAACATCATCTGCTATTCACTCTTCTGTATCCTAAAATGACCCCACTACTGTACAGCCATAGGAAGTGTTTATATCATGCTGGCAGCAATGTGGGTACCCGAAAAAGGTCCCTCACACACTGCATGAAGGAAGGAAGACTACTTGAAACCTGGTGTGTCACGTGATCATGGAATTTAAAAAAGTATTAGATTAGAATTTTTTGGCTCAGGTGATAAGTTATAGGGGGTGGGGAGTACTGTGATCTCTGTTAGAGGTAATGAATACCTGCAAGTGCTGCACTTTCACATAACTTGCATGGTATACATGTACTTAAAGTCTGACTTGGAGTAGAGTACTTTCACCTTACTGAATGTATCATAG